TGCAAAGCTTAAAGCATTGGTAAGTGGTAAGATGCCTGTTAGTTACGCAGTGTACACATAAAATATGTTCACACTCAGTATTATTGTATATCTCACTGTAATGAAGTTTGCTATGGTTAAAGATTATGTCCTCACAGTAGTGCTCTATTAAAGTCTTCACCAGCCAGTAAGCTCTTCAAACTTTTTGTCACGACATTTGATGGCACATAAAAGTTATTTGCCTCCAATGTGATATTCAGTAGAAAAGAGCCTGTGATTTGCTGATTTCTAGTCCCTGTTGACTGTAATTTACAATAACAGTAGTGATATTACTTACTCGCCATGCAGTTTGCTTTTAGCATCGGATTCTCATGAAACACAAAAGCCAGAAAGGAGAAAGAAGAAACATTTAAAAAGTGCTGATGGTTAAGAAAATGTCACATAAGACTTTTTTTAAACTTATCTTATTTGTATACTAAATCATTTTTTAACTGAAATTTTTCAGAAAAACATGAGATTAAAAAAATGAAAAACAACACAAAGAAGCTTTTATTCAACAATCCATCCATCACCCATTTTTCTATTTACTTCACCACTTAATTGTTTGTGCATATGCAAGGAGCTGTTGGAAATTGGAAAACCTAAATGTGGTAAACATAAATATTCAAAGAAAGGGGGAAAAAATCAAAGTATAAAGCTGGTACCTACATTTCCATTAGTTCTTTTTTTTTTTTTTTGTGCGCACCAATAATTTATTGCACACGGGATAAATGTTTCCTAAACCCATGATGATGTGCATATAATTGATATTGCATAGACTTTGTTTCTAAATAACAACTGAACTGACCCCATTATAAAAGATATAAGACTAAAAATATCACCCAATGGGTTGATAACATATGTCAATATTAAAATGTGAAAATAAGAACAACCAAATTACAGATTGTCCAAATTGTTTTCTTTAAATTGCCTATTTTGTCAAGTTTGGCTGCTAAAGTTTGTCTATTTAACCTCGCTAACCTTTCTGCAGCACATTCAGAGTTTTGTGAACTACACATGGATGGTGAGGTACAAAACTCCAATCGACGAATCTACCAACCAGCTCATCTGGTCCTTCTTCGTGGCTGTTTTAAGTGTGCGATGGTGGGCTGGGGCTGTTCACAGTGGAAGCCTTCCTGTCACCTATGGCCAGTAATTGCATAAGCATTTGTTGTTTATTAACAGCAGGCACTGCCTTTCAGACACTCTGATCTCTCAGATATTAACAGGAGGATATATTAGGCCAGGGATGTCAAACTCGTTTAACACTGAGGGCCTCATACAGCCCACTTTGATTTTATGTGTGTTGGACCAGTGAAACTGGTACTTCAATAACATGTTTCAGCAATTTCAACTGAAACATGTTATTGAAGTACACACTATCTGCATGGCTTAAATTGTCAGAAGTACATGTGTAAATTTACAGGAGTCTATAATTTGGTGATAGAGGATGTCTTTATCAGCAGGGAAAGCTGTAAAACTTATAAAAATACAGTGAAAAGTCCAAGATTTATGTCCTCCTTCACATTTTCCAAAGCCATCCAATGCACCACATTGGAATCTTGGCTATTTTTATTCTCCTCCATTATGTAAAATGCAAAAATGAACTGATACTGCCACTGTAAAGAAACAATTGTTTTCATTCGTCAGAACTTTTAATGTTGTAACTGACCACACTAGTAAACCTCAGTAAAGATCTAACATAAGTCGCCTTGAGGCGACTTATGTTGTGATTTGGCGCTATATAAATAAAATTGAATTGAATTGAATTGGCAGACTGATGGAACAGACTTTGGATGTAATCCTTGTGGTATTTCTGTGTCCAACAGCTTTACAGTGGCTGTGGCAGGAGGACAACTTAAAGATGGAGTTGGACGACATGCAGTTGGAGCGGGAGAGGTCTCAGGGAGAAAAGGCAAAGACTGTAAAGGATCTGCTCACCTCTCGCTGTGTGCGATGGCAACTGCTGACTCTAGCCATCCCTTGTGCTGGCCTTCAGTTTTGCGGCATCAATGCTGTATGCTTATGTTTCTCTGCCGATATGACAGTTATCAACTTAAATCTGTTCGAAATTGCAGTTTCTAGTTCCCTTTCATCTGTCATCCTCTTGTTCAGCTGTGCTTCTACGCCTTTGACATCTTCCGTGAGTCTGGAGTGCCAGAGGACAAGATGCATTACTTGGCCATTGGTATTGGAGCAACAGAGCTCATCGCTATAACGTTGTGTGTAAGTAAAGTTGCATAAATTAGACTTTACATCTAAAAAGCTCTTGGTTATTGGGTGATTCTAAAAATGTCTTTTAGTTTTACTTCTTGGGCACGATTCTGCACATTTGATCATTTACATAAATAATAAAGAAGTAAAGACTGGGAAAGAGGAAAGAACATGCTCGATACGAAGATTTCATAAAAAATAATCAAACATGAAGAACATTGTTATCAGTTTTTGCTTATTTGCTGTGCATCAGTCCTTCTTGATCGATCGTGCTGGCAGAAAGAAACTTATGGGCTATGGCTATCTACTGATGGGTATCACCATGTGTGTTCTTACCGTCATGTTGTCAATCAAGGTAAATACATTCAGCGCATTTCCTCTTCTTCTGTTGTATGTTAGAGGATTCATTCCATCAATCCAACTTTTACAGGATCTGAATTCATGGATCCCGTATGTGAACATCACTCTGATCTTTTGTGTCATTTGCATTTATGAGCTTGGGCCTTGTGAGTTACTCCTTTTTTTTTTTTTTTTTTTACCCAACTCCTATATAAAAGATTTCTGCGCCCATACTTGACTGAGCTTCATATCTAAATAGCTTTTTAATGTTTGAATCTTCTTGCAGCTGGAGTGTCTATGGTTCTCCTTGCTGACCTCTTCCTACAAGTCTGGCGTCCTTCTGCTTATGTGGTTTGTGGGACCATCAACTGGCTCTGCATGTTTGTTATAGGGTTGTTGTTTGGCTATATTGTGGTAAGATAGCCACTGTAGATATACCATAATGTATCTCCATCGTTATATGTGTATTTACTCTATGCCACCCTGCTGTTTATCTAAAAGTCTTTTTTGTGTGTATCCATACAGGATGGACTTGGACAATTCTGCTTCCTGCTTTTTGTGGCTTACTCACTTGGTAGTGGAGCATTTATTATATATTTTGTCCCAGAGACCAAAGGAAAGACAATGGTAGAGATTATGGAGGACTTCAACAAACTGAATTACAAGAACAGGACAGGTGATATTGAAAACACTGATGTTGTTCTTGAAACTAAATTTTAACTTTTTTTTCCCTCATGTAAGTCACCTGTAAGTTGCCTTTATGCAACCAAGTGCAGTTATTGCTTTTAGCAAAATTCTGATAGATTACATATGCAAAGGGCTGATGTTACATTTGTAAATATGTACAATTAAAAATAAAACACATCTTTGATCCTGGTCTCTGCTTTTATAGTTATTCACATAAAACACCAGCAAATTATATACAGTATTAAGATTTATATAGTTTTTCATTCATTTAGTAGTTAGTTTTTTCAGTTTATCCCTTCAATTTGAATACTTGTAACACAGCAATGTTTTGTGTGTTTTAATAAATTTGTAAATAAGTGAAATTATCCTTCTTTTGATGGTAAGAAAAACCACTGAACTTACCAAAATTCTTGAATTATTAGATGAAGAAAATCACCTGGCCCCTTGTCAGGTTCAGATTACTTAATGGTACCTGCAGAAAGATTCTGTCTGCAGTATAGGTGCGTTTCCCATCCTCACATGCAGTTTGACGACAAACCCCCACAACAAATGAACAGAATACAACATAACAAAGACATAAAGCTAATATTAGCATGTCACCTGTTCTCTTATTAGCAAAGGGTCAACACATCAGGTAGATTGGCACGCTTAAGCTACAGCTATCAACTTTACAAATAAATAAATAAACAAAGGTGACAGTCATGCCAAATTATTATTGAATTTATAGGGGCAGTTCATCAGTCTACTTTGAAACAAGCTTCAAGCCCACTGTCTTCTAATTTACTTTGCCTCAACAGCAGCAGGTCTAAAGAACAACTAGGCAGGACCTCCCAGCTTAAGCTGCAGTGACATACATATCAAAGAGTTTAAAAAATGTCTTAAACCAAGTGTTTACAATAGTCTAAATCCCTAAACTTGTGGTTTTACCGTTGTTCATTCTGCATGGCTTATTTGTGCATCTGCATTGTGTTTTAGTTTTAGTGTATTAATTTGTGCTCGTGATTCAGCCCTCTTACGCTTAAAATCTAAAAAGAGTAATGACACAAAGAGGAAGAACATATTCATACTCCATTTTCTTCTTTGAGGTCAAACATCCTTAATTTAAAAAAAAAAAAAAAAAAACATGACATAAACCAACACTCCATAAATTCAGTAATTTGATTTAAAGTTACCTAGCTGTAGCTTAAGGAAAACAATATAGATCATTTAATTTTACCTTTCAGTTCAGACCCATTTTAATTAAAGTTGTTTGTCTACTTTGTTAGATTAAAACACAGGACACTACATTATTACAGTTATTATCACGATCAAACAGAAGCTATGATGGTTCTCATTTTGTCAAAAAGAGTGGCACTGCGACAAAGTGGGTAATTGTTGGCACTAAAGTGATCATGTGGGTGAAATACTTCACAACAAACCAGGCGATTTAAGTGACCGTGAACACGCCACTGAGTATTTCAGAGAGATTTTCCTCACAACCACCTCTAAGGTTTTTTTAGAGAATGGTGAAAAAAAAAAAATATCCAGTGAGCAGCAGTTCTCTGGGTGAAAATGCCTCGTTGATGCCAGAGGTTAGAGAAGAGCCAGACTGCTCCAAACTGATAGGAAGGCAACAGTAACTCAAACAACTGCTCATTACAAACAATGATCTCCACAAAAGCATCTCTAAATGCACACGAAAAACTGTAAGGAACTGGACTACAGCTGCAAAAGACCAAGTATGAGTAATAACAAGACAACAGTTGGGGGGGCTTAAGTTGCAATTTATTTGATGCTCACCTCTGTACCAAGACAAGAGATGAGACTCAATAACAGAGTACAAAAACAAATATCTATAGAAAAGTAAGCTTATATTGAAATATGTCCAAAGACGTTATAACAAAACATGTAGCTCACATGTTTTAAGAGCAATCGTGTACGATGATAAAATACCAAGTGAACATATTTTACATTTGTGTTTTTATACAAAAGTGTCAATGCGAGTCACTCTGTACAATAATTAACCTATAGAAAAGAGGACCTTTTTTTTTTTAATCCACTGCTGTGCACAATCAGTATTTGGAAGGCACTTCGCAACAGACAAAAAGCACAAAGCAAAAACACCCAGGCCGAAATAATACGTCATGTTTTACACTGGAGTACCAACATAAATGAAACAAATTATACATCCCTGTGGGGGAGGAAAAAAATCAAACCAACTACAAAAAAAGAAAGGTTGAATTACATCCTTACAGCATTTTACACTTGTCTTGAAATAATAATTATGACAACACAACCCTTATTACCTTTCAAAGAGTAAATACTAGTGCAGAGTGGATCAAAAAAGAAAAATCAAAAAAGGTCAGCTGGCAGCCTGAGCGCTACCGGAGCAGAGTTATAGTACAGTGAGCAGTGAAACGACTACTGCCACCAACCAGTGATCGACAATCAGTCCCCACCTCGGCTCGCATGCCAGAACATGCAGTTTACCCTTCAAATGGCCATAACTTAACATCCCTCCACAAAACAGACAAGAAAAAAAACAAACAAAACCAACGGAGAAAAAAAAAAAAAAAAATCTTTTTATGTACAGGACCACCACTTACAAACACTGATCATATTGGTTGGTTCTTTTATATATCTATATATATATATATATATATATTTATATATATTTATAGAGGTGTATATGGAAGGTATATACACTTGTTACAATCACAATATAACTATAAATAATAAGGGAATGTACTGAATTTAACAGACTCAATTACCCACAAATAATAATTAAGCAGAAAGCAGGAAACAGATCAAACAGAAAGTCACACACAATTATACACTCTGTTTTTGTTAACAGAGAAACACACACACAGTTTGCTGCTGGACCCAGCCTGATTTGCATCATGATACACTTTTAAAGCACAAAAACAAAACACCAACCAATGAAAAATGAGGTCCACATGACACTAAATCATTAAATTTAGAGCATTAAAAAGAGCAGATCCCTTTCCACAAATGTTTCAGTGCCACCTGTCGGTGTTTTCTGATTCACCACCACTACAACAAAGAGGGATGAAAGAACATTGTGAAAAACTGGGATTTGTGTTTGTCGGTAATTTAATCAATAAAGTGAATTACATCTGCAGATACATGGGTTACTTTTTATATAAATTCAAAGCATCGGCTGGTTTCAGCTTCAAAACACCAATTCTTCGGGTCTTTAACCGTCAGCCACACCGAAGATGTTGCGTTGTGCTTCAAGACACTGTAAAAGGATTTTTTCCCCTACCCTTATAAGCACACATGAAAAGAAACAGCAGTGTTCAGAGGAATGTCTGTGAATAAACACAGTGAGACACCCAGACAGGTACTCTGTGACCATTGCGGCAAGCGCAGCACGCGGCGGCAACAACACAGCAATAGCAATCTAAGAGGAGGGAGAAGAGTAACAGGACACGAAACAATGACACATTAAAGAAAGCCAAATATGTTCTGATGACTCACAGGTTGGTGGATCACATTGCAAATCTTTCCTCGAACCCTCTCGATGTCTGTTGCACAACACACACAAACAACAAACACGCATCTATATTTAATATAATTTAGAGTGAAAATAATCAAACTGAGCAAATCACAAGATTTTTGTTTTCACACAATGAAAGGGGGAAAAAAAGAACTACACAAAATCAAGGGCATTAATAAGTTAATAAAATATAATCTACATTTCTCAAAATATATACCGAAAATATACCTGACCTTGGTCCCTGTTTCATTTACACAACTGATTTAACACCTAAAAAAAAACAAGACTGGGAAACGCTGTCCATGTAGCAGGAAAACAAACCTCAACGCTAACAAGCTTATGACGATTCAAGACAGATTTTGCATCCAAATATGTTAAAAAGAAAAAGAAAAAAAAATCTCATAGGAAAAGCATTCAGGTACACTGTGAAGATCACAACAATAAATGGCTTCCCTCTCCTTAAAGGAACATTTCACAAATAATTCAACTCAACACATAACAAAGGGCTTTTTAAGTGCTTCCTAACACCTACCAGTCCTACTCACTGGCATAAGAACTGACACTTGACACACTGGAAGCAAAAAAAAAAAAAAGGAAAAGAAACAGCATGAAATGCACATCAAGCCTGTTATTAATATTTCTTCTTTAGCATTTAACAGATTAAAAAAAGCCCTGCTAGCAAACTTTAAGCCAAATTAAATCTCTTTACTTAAGAAAAAAAAAGTCCTCTCTTAAAGGTAGTAAGTAAGGTAATGAATACAGAATTTAGCCCTCTTGTTGCTCTGAGGTAAAGACATCTGTTTAAAGACTTAAGGGGAGCGTAAGGATATAAAGCATTAAAAATTCACTGTGATGGCCATGGGTCTATTAACCAAGTACACCAGAGTAGGTGAAGTGAGCAAAAGGACAAAGATTACTTTACGTTTTAACGATGCAGTACAGAATTCATCTCAAACATGGGGATTTAACTGTGATTGGTAAATCACACATAAAAGCTGAAAGCCCTTTTCAGACGTGCGCTCCTTTGACTGAATGTCTTGGTCACTTTTCTTTAACAATTACCAAACTCGTTAGGTCAGACCTACAAGCGTTTATCCATCATGAATTCCACAAGAGAGACCTTGCTTCTAATAAGGAGTGTGGTTAATTACTCAATAACAGCAATACTTAATGCCACAAGCACAAAAATCTACTTACGGGAAACAGTGGGCTGAGTCTTTACACCAAATGGCTCTCTGTCATAGGAACATTAATGTTAAAGTGACCCATGTCTGAATTGTCTGATTGCCATCACTTTAACAAACTGATAAATATAATCAGGGTCTGAAAAGGGCTTTAAAGAAAACAGAACTTCGACACATCCCTAGCGGTTAAAGGAAATAAAGCCTTCACGTAATTTCTTTATAAAGCAAAATGCCAGACACATACATAATCTGGAAAAGTAGAAAAGGTAGGAATTATATGGCAGTCTTTCACAAAAATATTGGATACACATTAACCAACATGACAAAAAAAAAAAAAAAAAAAAAGTAGTCTTGAGGCAAAGATATTCCCAAATACAGAGTATCTTCTGTGGGCAACCCAGCTTTGTCCTAAGAAAAAGTGGCTTTCCTGCAACTTGTAAAGCCTCAAGCAAAAAAGGTCACTTTCCTCCAAAATCAATTCCACTTTGACCCACCTCAGCGTCCACCAGTGAAGAGGCAAAAGCTGATTGAACTATCTGAAAGCCAAAGGACTCGAGCAGAGACATGTTTTGTTGAGGGGAGAAGGGAGACGTCAGGGAAGGGGCTATATCACTCAAGCTGGACCCCGAAACGCCCTGGACCTTCTGGGCTTTGTGAACTCTGTGCTGGTGCTTGTTGAGGTAGGACTTTGTGCGGAAAGCCTGACCACAGATCCCGCAGATAAATTTCTTCTCAGGGTCTGTCTTGGCTTTAGATGCCTCTGGAGAGACCAAAGCCCCCGCAGAGGCGCCATTGCAGGGCAAAGAGGGCATCTCGAGTTCTGGTCCATCGGTTTTGTGTGGAGATTTAAGCTCTTCGCTGTTGGACAAATCCCCGAATGAAGGATCTGATTCTTCCGATTCCAGGTGAGGACATTTACCAGCGTTTTCCTGCCCGTCTGAGGTAGATACAGCATGGACATGAAGAGGGAGGTGAGGCAAAAAAAGGGGGGGGGGGGGGGGGACAAATGGGAGAAAAAGAGAGGCATGAATTAGGCTTTAGGCTTTCTCAAAAAACATCTTTAATCCATTTGTTGGCTGGCACCTGAAAAGAAATAAAATGTAAACTTCGGGGGTCACATGAGAAAGCACCAAGCACGGGCAGAACCAGTTACGATGACTGAAAGACATGAATAATTAAATACAGTTCTTTCCAAAATGTGGCTACAGCATTTAACTACACAGTCATCTAGCTCAGTCCATTTGCCCGGTGTCCACTGAGAATTCTGCTGTGCTCATCCAACCAATAGGCCATGCTAGCACCATGCCCCCACCCACCCTCCTGCTGGACTGTACTGACCTGTGACAGGCCCATGGACGGGGAAGCCAGGCACCCCGCCAGAGCGACACTCCCAGAAATATGGAGCCCCACCTGGCTTCCCCATGAGCAGCTCAGGCTGCAAGCAGAGGGTTGAATGGCCAGGCTGGGGAAGAACTGGGTGTCCAGAGAGCCCATGAAAGCGCCCCTCTGCCTCAGACGAGGTGAGAAGCAGCTGGCGACTGGCGCACAGGTCTACACAGCACCCAGCCAGGGAGAAAGGAAGGGGGAGGGACAGATATAACAGGCCGGTGGAAACCATACGGACAAAAATACCTTTACTTCATCACTAGTGTTAATGCTGTTTGTACACAGTATACTAGACATGTACAGTACTGAAAATGAGCCCATGCTGAGTGAGTCCCTTCACTAAAGCTGGCGTTGATGAATGAATTAACCTTTTCCTCAGCTCACAGTCAACAAACAATAAATCCCTGGCTGCCTGACTGCTTTAATCAAACTGTGCCATTTCATTATAATCCTTGCTGAAACTTGATTTGTTAAACACAGGTGCAATTAAAAAAACTACACGGGATCCTTTGATTGCACATGCTGGCTCATTAAAGCAGCTAAAGAATGGAGCCAGCAATTAATGTCACCAGATGCATCTGCGAATCCAGCTGTATCTTGTCACAATGCCCCCCCAGGGAGAGAAGTGTAACGTTCACACGTCTCACTGGTCCTGTGACACGAAGTGAAGGTTACAGGTAAAAGAACAAAAAAGAAGTAGAGGGGAAAAAAAAAAAAAAGGGGGGGGGGGGGGGGGGGGGGACGTGTGCTTGTCAGTGGTGTCGGTAAATGTCTGTATAACCAGGGGCGCACATAAGTGGTCCGCAGGTGCGCATTCGCTGTCAAAATAAAAGATGCACACCAGATAAGAAGTAGCAACGCGCGTTTGCGCACATAAAATTTTCTGGAGGACAGACATTTGTTTAGAACTCTTAAAGATGTCGAAGAAGCTCCTTTAAGCAATTACTTTGGTGTTCCTCCACCTCCAAAGAAATGTCAGAAGGAGTCCGAACCGCAAAAGAAGCGCGTATTCTCGGAAAAGTGGTTGCAGGAGGTGAGCTGGCTTCAAACAAATGATGAACGCACAGAGCTCTAGCAGACAAAAACAGCGCCTTTTATAAGTACGCGAACGCGCGTTGCAACTTCTTATCTGGTGCGCAGCGCGTCTTTTATTTTGACAGCGAATGCGCACCTGCGGACCACTTATGTGCACCCCTGTGTGTGTAACTGTATTTCCCTGTATTTAAGTTTTACAGCCTTTTCTGCTGATGAAAACCTCCCGCATTCATTCTATACTGAAGTTGTGAAGAACTAGAGAAATTGAAAAGTTCATGTCTTCCTATTATGTATTATTGAAATTTCTAGGTTTTTTGTTTTGTTTAAAACAACAACAACAACAACAACAACAAAACCCAAAAAACCTTGTTTATAAATAAAGGACAGTCTGACCAAATACCTAACAGAACTTGTTCTTTAATTTTACACATTTAGCAAGTAGAAAAACTGAGACCTACAGTCGAAACTGCACTTCTCCATATTATATGTTAATATCTAATTGCTTAAATGTTTAAATGTCTTTACACCGACAGAAAGGAGAGTTTTGCTGGTCCAGTACACTTAAAGATCAAATTGGCTGTATGTGGCCTATGAGGTAAAACAAGTTTAACTTATCTGGTATAAACATGCTTTTTTTGTGTCATTTCAACAGAAGCTCACTTTCCTTTATAAGGTTTAGAAGTTTAAAAAAAGAAAGAAGACCAGCTATCCCCCAAACTAGATCCTGACCAATATTATCAGTTAATATTGTCTAATCACAGATATATAATCAATAACGGTGGGCAACTTTTCAGATATATATATGGAAGGCTTCTTTTAATGAAATATAGTAAATATAGTGCTGCAAGTTTGTGACATATATTGCTGGAAAAAAAATTAAATTTTTTAAGTAAGAACATCATTTTCCCTTTTTAGTATCAGAGCTTAATATATAGTGTAGTAATAGTGCTTTCTAATAGCTCTTTGACTAAAAGGTATGCATTTTCTGAAAAGACAGTTTGAAGTTGCTATTATAATTGTGACTGCTGCACTTAATTTTACAAATGCCACATATAATTTCAAAGCATCCTGCAGTGGTTCTTGGGATTCTCATGCTTAATTTGCACCTGTGACAGGTAAGAGGTGTGAATTTTAGAACCCTGTTGATGTTTCCACTGACATATTATGTGTAGTTGTTAATGTAATCCATTATTTTAAAAGCCCAAGTCATTAAATTGTAAATCAACAGAAGACAGCATTTTCTTTGATATTACATTTAACCACTTGTGGGTTCGGTTCACAGTTTCTCCAACAGAAATGGCACAACTACGAAAATTTCAATGAATCCAGGGCAAATGGAGCACACGTTAGGACGATCATGCAACACTGTGCATAGCCCAACAACAGTTGATGAACCAGCCAAGCAGATACAGACACTGTTAACCATACGGCCATGGCCATGCTGGACAGACACACGCGTACAAATAAAAGAAATGTGAATTAGTATGCGACCTGCTAACATGGTTGAGAGTAAAAAAAAAAAAAAAAAAAAAAAAAAATGGTCAGCTTAAGAATTACAAAAAAAAGGATAGATCTTCAGTTATTCCAAGTGGCAACAGGAATATGTAGGCAGTTTTCAAAACAAAACAGGGTTTAAAAGAATAGTTGTATGTACACATCACATTAGAAATAAAGCCTAAAGTTTGAGATGAGTCCAGGATGTTAAAAGATAAATTAGTTCTCCAACTACCAAACAGATTTAATGCTCTAGGGTGTGACAATAGTTTCCCGCAGCCCTACCACCCCGACCTTTGGCATGAGTCACGAAGCTGGCCTGAGCTCACTGGCATTTCCAGCTTTTTATGTAACACTGACCGCATGCCTAATTAACCTGGATATCATTAATAAAAAAATAAAAAAAATTGGTGCCACAGTTAGAGAATAATTACAGCAACTGTCGTCACAGAGACGTGCAATACTTGACAAATGAAGGTGCAATAGTAAATGTTTCAGCAAAAAGCTTGGAAGCAGGAGCTGATGTATGCGTGTGTTAACATATACAGAGATGCAGCAGCATGTTTCTCCCCCCCCAAAGAAAATAAATAAATAAACGGCCGCAGAACAAATGAAAGCCAGAAACATGAAAGTTTGGGATGGGGCGGGCGGCTGCTTGCCTTCCACTGAGCACTGGCGTCCCATGTGGTAAGGGTTGCCGTTGTGCATCTGCAGTTCCCCCCTTGGCTCAGGGAAGGTGTGCATTGTGGCAGAGGGGGGCAGTGGAGAACCGTGGTGTGTCTTTATATGCACCTTAAGGTAGGATGCGGTGGAGAAACCTGGGACCAAAGGAACAAAGAAGAAGGAAGTTGCTTGACACACTGACATCCCCGCCTGTGAGAGAGGTGTCCTGAAACAAAGGCGTACTGTTCGAGTTTGCTCCCACTCCATGATTCATTTCTGGATGTGTGGTGAACTGAGAATTGTACTGCTCCACAATGTCAAACAACAGAGCTTCAAACAGTTTTTTTTGTATTGTCTGGACTTGTAAAAATAAAGACAACATAATAATACTACAGTTTTACTAAGCCCCTGGGAGGAGAAAGGGCTTTTCCCATGGATCACAGTTCTTACAGATGGAATGACTCCTTTAAAAACACACTGAAATCAGTCTAAATATAATTAGATTTCTCCAATAAATTTTCAACAGTACTGAAGACACACGTCAGAACAGTAAATAATCAGGTCAGCCAGAGGAGTCCAACCTGCATGATCACTACTGGCCTGTTAGAGACTCTACTGAGTCTCACTCTCTGTAAAGGCCTAAAGATGCAAAAACCAGACACGTGAAGAAACCTTCAACATGTATGACTGAGACTGTAAGCACCATATGAAATTCAATGTTCAGACATGCAATTGCAAAAAACTAAAATCTGAACCCTCAGCAATTTCCAGGATACCTGAAATGACCGTCGTGACTTTAGTAGATCATTATAGCAACTTTTGCTGAACACCTGATGAGGACAAGGTTATGTTCAGAGTTTTGATTTAAAATCGACTGCAAGAGTAATTTTTTTGTCATTTCTTTTATTTAAGTGTGACACACGCACACCATCTGCTGAAGAACTGCATTTCATACATGCAACATGTTGAGCTGCACATGACTAATAACACTAAAAGAAGCCGTGAAGTTACAGCAACCCAAACTGTATGCGTCACCATTGTTGCAGGACTTTGCATGCATTCAGTTGGAGATGTCGAAAATGTGAAAACCTGCCCTTTATGTTCGGTCCCCAACCAGCTGCCAAGTCAGTTTTACAATACTGGAACCGCAGCTAATAAAACAGACTGACCAGTTCACTAATTTAGTCACAGGCTCTTAATCACCAGGAATAATCGAGTGATAAAATCCACTTTGTTTTGATCTGGCCACATCTCGCATCAGGCTGTGAAAAAGTATGAGGCGTGAATGCACAGAGTAGTCTTTAATATTTAAGTGCGTCGAGCTTAGTTTCACACCAGTTCTGTGCTGCTGTCGCATTAGAAATGAACTGCGTCGCTGAGAGCACACGGAGCGCTTAAATAAGATCAAACAGATCACACATTTTTGGCAGCATTGCCAAATTCCCTCATTTGCAGCAGAGTGGACTTCCAAACTTTTTTATATTCTTTATCACCCATTTATCTGACAGTGTCTTCGACTGATATGAAATGACGCATCAAACACCCTCTTATACGAGTGCACGGCCTGGAGCAGAAAGTTGGTCAGCACTGTTCTGAACCCCCCCAAGTCTGAGATCAAGTTTTAGGTTTTTCAATCTAGCCAATGATAAGAAAAACTCGCTTACTTAACTGGAATTACAGTACGCACTTCTGGGCTGTGAGTGATTAATGAAGCCTCCCCAATATAGGATTTTTAGGACAGAGAGATATTTGGCGATTTAAAAATCTGATATTCCAATATGCTATTCCTTCTTTTTTTAGACAAACGGATTTTGCCCAACAGTTATAGTTGCTGCTGTTGTTATCAGGGAACATTCAGAGTAATGGAGGAACAACTGATGGACGTTTTTCCCCACTTGTCTTCTTATTTCCATTTATTCACCATTATAAATGCTGATACTGGCTGATAATATTGGACCACCAATAAATCGGTCAGGCTTGTTTGTAAATCAGACTGATCTGTCTATGACTGTGATTCAGATGAAGATCACAGCAGATTTTATGGATAATCAACAGAGAAAAATTTGAGATGTAATTTTACATCCATGTAGTGAAGTTAATCTTCACAAACAGATTCACTGCCAGATTATGTTATTCAACTTCAACCCACAAGCTACAAGAGCAACCAACTAAAAAAAACAACTAAAATCTCTTATATAATCAAAATCTTACTTTTAAATATCACAAGATCACAAGGCAGTACATCAACCATAACTCTAGACTCGTGTCTTATTTTTCCTAAAAGCACATTTACCAATATATCAAATAATATCAGTCTGTATATTGTGAACATCCAGGACGTCAGCACCCTCTGGATATTGATCAAGATAGGGGGTAGAAAGGTTTCAGATTTCGAACCCGAGTACAACGCTGTTTTGTTTTTTGAAGGAATTACCTTTGTTGCAAATGCCACAGTAGTTATGAGTTCCTTCACTGTGTTTCTTGAGATGGTCTGTCATGTAGGCAGCTCGCAGGAACTTGCCGCAAACTTTGCAGGGGATTTTGTCCTCGTGGCATGCAAGGTGAGAGCGGAGACGATCTCTTGTGGCAAAAGAGGCATTACAAATCTGAAAGACAGAAATCACTGAGCTAATGCCTCTCACAGTAGAAAAAAAAAAAGAAACTCATTAGATGCGGCTATTCACTATGTAAGACAGACATATTGATCCTACCTGGCACTTGTGAGGTCTCTCTGTTGTGTGTACTTGTTTGATATGTCCATTCAGGTGGTCTGGTCTGAAAGAAAACAGTGCAAATTAAAGTCTGTGCATCATGAACTGATATGCCTGAAATCAGAACTCCCTGTTAACCTGTATGGAACTCTGTATATTAGTACTATATTAATTTCTCAATTGCATGAAAATCAATCACGAGAAGGAAGCTACTCAAATTAATTACATTCATTCATGTCTCAGAGAGCTGTCCTCCCACAGTGTGCAAGCTGGCAACGAGGTACAGGTGAGCTGTATGACATTAATATAACAAAGGAGTCCTTAAGAGGCTCCTTTGTTTTAAAAACAAAATAATCAAATCAAGGCTGAAGGTAAAGCAGCCTTTTCCTCAAAAGAGGGTTTACTAATAACATTAACAGTGTCACTGTTCTATTGAGGGGCTCTAGGAAGCCAGACTGGTGACCCTGTATGCTCACCAACCTGAAGCCAAAGTAGCTTAAGAGAAAACATAAAAGTATGTCTTCACAAAGGCGGCCAGTAAGAACTCTTCAGTCATACCTGTGCTGAGACACACAAGATTTCTGGAAAATTTGTGGAGAAAAAAAAAACAAAAAAAACTGCTGCTTTCTTCATCATGTCAGAAACATTAACCTCCAAAGCAGTAGGTGGAGGCAGTGAGCTAAAACCCAACCTTCAACTGGTTTGAGTATCTGAAAACAAAACATAGTGGTGATACTTTAACGATTACTTACACTGGTTATCCTGAATTTGACAGCTGTGGCAGGACGCATAGTGGGAGGTAAAGTAGTGATAATGTTATATGAAAGGTGCATGCATGGCTGCACGGCAGTAGTTAGAAACCATGGACAAGATCCTTAGCTGTTGGAAAGATGGTGGCGTCTGTGCATCTCTAAAAGCTGCTTTGACTGTTAAATATAGAAGCACTCACTTGATACCGTCACATAATGGACTAAATTACATGTGCTGATTTACACATGTACCTTTAATTATATTAAGGAACAACAAAGCACATTTCTGTCTGGGATGATCTGGAAATTTAGGGCATTAAGACCCAGTAACAGCACTGTGTGTGGTTTTTGTTTTGTTTTTTACAACTCCCAACAGATTCTGACCAATTATCATCATCATCATTTATACATCTCATTCAACTCACCTTGAAAACCCTTTACCGCAGCTTTGGCACACATAGGGTTTGCCAACTGAGCCGTCGTGGGAGCGCACATGGTACGACATCCTGTCCTTGCGTTTGAACCGGAGCCCGCACACATGGCAGGCGTATGGCTTCTCCCCGGAGTGGGAGAGCTTGTGTCGGTTCAGGTGGTACACGTCGCGGAAAACTTTCCCGCAAATGTCACAGCCGACGTGCCGCCTGGTCCTCTCTCTCTTGCGGCCGTTGTCCAAGGCGAGGCCTCCGTGTAACTGCACGCCGTTTTCCAGCAGCCCGGGCTGAGATAGAAGAGAAATTCCGGCCGGGGCTGACAGGCTGTCGCTGAGGTTGTTTACAGCCCCGCTGGAGGCTCCGTGCTGCGCTTCGTGGTTCTTCAAGCGGGAAGCCTCGGTGAAAGCTTTGCCACAGGTCCCACAGGGAAACAGTCCGTTGTCTTTCTGGGGGCTGTTGTTAAAGTGAACAGCCTCCACGGCTCCGCCAGCTTTCTTTGGTCTCCCCCTGCACCGTTTCGACCCCGGGGAGCCAGCGTCGTGAGGAAACGCGTTCCCCGTTATTTCCGCGGATGGGGAGACTGGCAGTCCCTCAACGGGCTCCAACATTGGCACCGACGACTCGCCGCCGTCCTCCAGAATCGCGGCCGCGTCTTCACCTCCGTCCACATGCATCTGCATGCTGTTAGCAAAGCTCTGACCGTTCACCAGCATTCCCGTTCCGTTTACCAGACCCTGGTGAGCCACCGGGAAACCGAGCTCCGTGGCCCCCGTGGCCTGGAATAGACTGGCATCTCCTCCCCGAGAGGTCGGGACGAGGATTTGTACGTTAGACTGTTTGATAACCTCCTGACATATCTCAATAACCGAGCGCATCAAAAGAAATTTGGCAGCTGTCATCAACTCCGGGAAACACTCCAGTCGGACCACGATCCTAGACGTGTACGCGAAGTCCAGGATGTCTTTAAAAACTTTCGGGCTGATCGTATGCATCTCCAGCTCCTTGGCGTCGCCGTCGCCCTCAGTCTGACGGCTGAAGACCGACTCGAAGTACTCGCTGCAGGCGGCTAATACTGCTTTATGGGCAGGGAAGCTTTCCTCGCCGACGCGCAGGATCACATCGCAGAACCTGCCTCCATCTTTCCTCTGAATGTTGAGGTTGTGTAGCATCTCCGCACTGTGCTTGCTCACCTGGTAGGTGTACGAAGAAGTCCAAGACGGCTCTGCTACTTTCTCCATGCCGAATTCATCCAATAACAATGGTTGTTGGCGACAAAGGTCGGAGAAATGGCAGATTATGCGTGAGGATTTCGATCAACCGAAAGCAGCTAGCTACAAAATCCAAAACCAGCCGCCCCTCCCGTCGTTTTAGCATCTAACGTTAAAGGCTAGCAGTAGCAGCAGCAGGGAAAAATGGCAGCCCCCCAGCTTCCTGTGAACTTTGACCCTGCTTTCTTCAGGGTGGGGGTCGCTCGCTTTGTAATAATAAAAAATATATATCGATATCAGTGCTTTGACAATGAATGTGTATTTTTTATTTTTCTCTGGTGGGATCAGCGCTGCAGCAGTACTCCGGCGCTGCAGAGGTCTTTCATTTCTTCATGCCTTATGTTTGTACGCAGGTCTCTTCCTGCCTGCTGTCTGTGAAAACCCCTCCCCCAACCAGCCAACCACAACCCCCTCCTCCCGTCACTCTTTATGAGCGCTGTCTGTGAGCCTATTCAAAACACATGCAGAGCACAATGCACCAGTCACTTCAGGTAAGGGTCGAGCTGCACAAGGCAATACAACTGTACTTATTAAATATACATCTCCACTGATGAACTGTAGCAATAATTTGGCTGTTTACCAGTTTTAGAAATGGGGGGGGGGTGTTAATATTCCTCAAGTGGAAAAAAAAAAAAAATCACTAAATTACCGAGGTTGTCCACTCATCTGCTGACACAGAACACTGCAGGCTATTTACCACAACTCACTGGGCGACTTCAATAGTTACACTTTGCTAGAACCAGATTGGACCCCTTTTACTTGTAGAATAGCCATAATTATTCATAACAGACTTCAACAAGGTGCAGGAAACAGATGTTGGGTCATCATGCACCACGTAGTTGCTGCAGATGGACATCCATGATGTTGGAGCTGGTGACTGGAGTCCACTAGAGTAACATGGCAGTGATTCTGGTGTCAAGTTTGAGAATGAGCTTTGTGTATATCATCCTGCTGGAAGCGGCCATCAGAGCACTGGCACACAGTGGTCTATAAAGGGATGGACATCAGGAAGAATACTTGTGTAAGAAGACCCAAGTAGATCAGCAGTTTCTGAAATGTTCAGTGCAGCCCATTTAGCATGACATGTTCAAAGTTCAACCCCAATCTGATGCTCCATTTAAACTTCAGGTGATCTTCTTGATTACATCTACATGTCCAAATTAGGATGTTGCCATGTGACTGAAACCAGTATCTAATCAGACAGCAGCTGAATAAATGTACCTAATAAAATGTTTAAGTGTATATACCCACAAAGACTGAGTGCAACGATCAATCCACACACCACCACCTTAAATATTTCACAAGTACTCAGGATAAAATAAATTTAAAAAGCAACCTCAGTTTCTCATAATTAAAGATCAGATTTACACTGAACATTTAAGGAGATCTTGTAAATACAATCTTTTGCAATCTAAAGTTTACCTTTAAAAAGTTTAAACTTTGACCATTTTAGTAATTTCTAAACTAACAGTTTGTACTGAAATTGTGTTTGAATTACGAGTTCGTGACCCTTAGCCATGTTAAGGTGAACAAAAACAAACATCTCAGACCAGTGTGAAGTACTGCTTCTGAATTAGACTCATAATAAAACAATTATTTTCTGTTTCACAAAAGTACAAGTTACTGCAACCATGTGTCTTGTTAGTGTGGAAAGTTTTACAACTGAACTCTTAGTGGCAGGTGTAAGCATTCAACCACGTAAACATTTAATTGCATTAAAGAGGAAATACAAAAATGTTTAATCAAGATTTTATTTATTAATTCTATTTGTGCTTTTTATAACTTAATAGCACACAAACTGAATCCCAACCACCCTCAAAAAGAAAAATGACTGCGAGCAGTGCTGCCCCCATTAGTGACCAGTAGGATTGGAGAGGATACAGTTCAAAAAAGAAAAAACCCACAAAGGCACAAACAGCTTGCTGCATCCCTCAGAGGCATCTTTAATGCTCCACTTCTAGGGGAAAGGGCCACTATCTATGCCATGAAAGGGAAGATGTATGCGCTAAAATTATGCCAACATTTTTCACCGTGTGACCCTCTCAGTACGATTCGGGTGATGCAAGATTATGTGGCCGCGACGCGACAAAGGAATGCTACTAGCTTTTGCTGACTTTGTCGCAGTTTTCAGTCAAACTGCAAGATTGGTACAGCTCCCCTTTACTAAGAAAAGGGGGGGGGGGTAACAAAACAAAACAAACAAAAAAAAACCAAAAAAAAAAAAAACACCTTATCTATATACACTGAGAATAAGATTTTTTCCCATGTCTGTACAATTGGGCCTATACATTATTTACGGTGCAGTCTCGTACAAAAAAAATATATTCACTCAGCTGGCAAAACGGATCTCCATCACTTGCCTCTTCAAAAGCAGTAACTTCAATACTGAAGTTAAAGCATGGTTTAGTTACATCATCCTGTTCTGTGCACTGTCTTTCAAATTAAAGTTCACATTTTCACAGTAAACAAGTGGAGATGGACAAAGAGGGGGGGGGAAGAAAGAAAAAAATTCCAGCACAGTGTTTATTTTCTTATGGCCGGAACTCTAATTCATCTACACTTATGACCTTGGCTGGCATAGAGGGGAGTGGCTGCTCTAGTACATCTGATCCAAACCACTTGGCGAGGCCTAGAGGGGGGCTGCCGCCGTGTCGCTGGGAGCCATTCGTCCGGTGGGGGCCTTGGCTCTGTGACTGAGTGCCAGGGACAATGGGATGTACTGCAAGACAAAAGTATTCAATCGACAAGTCTTCAAACAAGATAATTAAATACACCACATTTTAATAACATTTGTGAGGATAATTCTGCCATAGCCACATAGTCCCACTGAATTTGAATATTTGAAATTTTCCTCCACTCACTTGGTCGTTGCTGTTGTTGAAGTTGCTGTTGCATTGCTGCTAACTGCATTTGAGTACTGGCTCTGGAAGGTAGAAGTGGATGCCCAGTTGTACTTAGTGGGTACAGTGGTTGTCCAAGCAGGGCAGGAGGCAAGCCTTGAAGTTGTGCAAGGTCATGTGGCGGAAACATACCTTGAGAGTACAATTAAAGATCAGAAACAATTAGGTTTAATGTTCAGAACACTTTAATACAGTTTTTAGTGTTTTTATAAAGCAAAAGGATTTGAAAGAAAAAAAAAAAAAAAAAAAAAAAGCCAGCAACCTGCTTGCACAAGAGCAGGTCCTAACTGCTGGGGCTGGATACCCTGTGCCAGCATACGTTGCACCACAGGGTGGAGCTGGGGAGGAGGGCGCACCATAGGTACGTGGGATAGCAGCGGTACTGGGTAGACAGGACGAGGGAAAGATGAGGATGGTCCTTGAGGTACCATGGCAGGTGGATGGTGTCCAGTAGAGCCAGGCCTGAGGCGCTCTTGTTCTTTGCTAGACAACGTCTGTGAGCTGGTCTTTACTCCCCCTGACTGAGCTACATTACCATCCACTGCTTCCAGGTATAGATTTGGGGAGCTGCTGCCTGTAATCATACAACCGAGATCTCAGTGTTACAGGGTATGTGTTCACTCACAGGTATGAAAGTGAAAGTTAAATATCAAACTAGTTCTGGGTACCGTATTTTTCGGCCCATAAGGTGCACCGGATTACTAAGCGAAACAAAACAGTCAGATAACTCAAATTTTACTCGACTCATTCTTCTTGCTTCCTCCACTTCTTTACCATTGATTCATCAATATTGAATTCTCTCGCAGCTGCTCCATTCCCATGTTGTTGCAGTATATTAATGACTAACCTCATAATGTGGATGGATTATCTCAGTTGTTCTGACAGAAATTTACAGCATCCTGCCATGCAATTGCATTTGTCCCCAACCATCAAGAACCCTCATGTTAACTTTTATTGAGTGGAAAAAAGTTAGCATTCATCCTCCAGCTTCACTGTGTTTATGTTATGCTAACATAGCTATGTCGCTAGCGATCATGTAGCACATCATATACCAGCTAGCCCAACTTCAGTAACCCTACAAATGCTACTGATGTTTAGTTTTCTGTCTTCATTTCAGTCAGAACATGGTACATCATGTTTAGGTGGAAACTAGCGAGCTAACTTCCTGCTAACTTCTAACTTTTAAATTTAATAAAAAATTCTGTTTTCATGGATGCCTGGATGTTAAACTTAATTGTTACACCTGGTGAAGCAGCAACACTGATCATTTTACAAAAGGTGAAAGAACAGTTTTTAACTCTCAGTGATGCCGCAGAGTTTTGGACCTAAAGAGGACTTTGTTTTGGGCCCAGATTACTCCGTGAGGCTCCTGACTGGTAGCTGTAATGCTCCGACAATCCATCAAGCAGTCCGGCTTCGTAGCTTACCAAAGTCGTACTAAAACATTTGACAAATTTTTGTGCGCCGTATACCACATAAAATTGGTTCGAGGTAAGTAAGCACAACCAGCATTCATACATAAAGTGCACTGGATTATATGTCGATTTTGAGAAAATTGAAGGATTTTAAGTGCGCCTTCTAGTCCGGAAAATACGGTAAATTAATACTGCACCATCGTGAGAATGTGCTGCTGAGTCGTCCTTTGTCTCTGAGCGATTTGAAGGTTCATCTTTGCTCTTCTCTTTTGTTGCGTACATTTTGCGGATCACAGATGTGGGTGTAAATGAAGGGGACAACTGACATAGGCAGGGGAGGAAGAAAAGAAAGAAGTTAATATTAGCAATAACAACAGGTGCATGAATTAGAAATAAGTCAAAACAACTTTAAAAACAACACTGGGAAGAAGTTTGCAGAGTTACGTTTATGCTTACCATACTGGTGACAGTACTTCCTGGAGAGTTTCTTCCAGCAGGCTGAGAGCCTGGTCCAGGGGAACGATTAAGACGCTGCGGTCTGGACAAAAACCAAACACACTCAGCCATACAAATTCCAACCAACATTATTTATTATCCTTGGAGGCATACATTATATTACCACATATTAAGCCAGTATATTCTTCAGCTTTGTTTATAAAGAAAGTATTTGTTTTGTAAAAAGCAGTCAATAGACTTCAATAAGACACATTAAAGTGCATGTCACTCAATTTGCTGAAATTGACTGATATCATAACCATTTAAAGTCTCTATACTATGTGGTATTTAAACACGATTAAAGCCAAAACAAACCTATTTCGGAAAGACTTGTCTTGTGGTTGTTTGTAGCCAGATTGGAATTGGTGGTGGGCATGGAGAGCAAGATCCTGCTGGAATGCCAGTGCTTCCAAGTCTGCTTGGTTAATAGGAATAGAGAGCGCCCTCATCTGGAAAGACAAGGTAGACCCAACCCAACTCATCAAAAGT